TCAGGCATCGAACTCGCGGGCTCCAAACCACTAATCAACTCGTTTCGCAGTTCGTCCATCGTGCGGGCTGCAATTTTGCCAAATTCAAGCATATTAGAGGATTCAGTTTTACGGATCAAACATACATTAACGAGACGAAAGGAAAATCATATTCACAATTCTATTGAAAATCGTCCGACATCTTCAATACATAATAGGATACTCGATAAAGACCAACAGACATTTGAAATAAAGTTTGATTTTTGTACGCTTGATTCATTTAGAAATCCGGATACTACAAACCGCGTAGGAAATTAAACCCAATGGCAGCTTTTACCAATAATTCGATGAAATCTTGTGATTTTATGATTGATGTTCCTGACGAGTGGTTCYTCAATGCTGATGGCACAATTCTSGAAGAATATTAACAACGATGCGATCACACGCATTGAACCACCCATTTGCAAATTTTATTTTTTTTGTCTGGCTCGGATGATTGGAAGGTTTTCGTTTCGCATTTTCGTTGTGGGAATATTGTTCTAACTGAGAAACAGGATTTGACTGTATTTCATTCAATTGATATTGAAACTTTAGTTCAAACTTTATGGCAAATATTTAATTTTCAATTTACTGTTGCTTTCTATCCGAAACAGGATTCGATATATATATATAAATAATCTTTATTTCATACAGAAAAAGGCTATCGACCCAATCGGTCTTTCGGCCCTTGTTTAGTACATATGTGTCTTAGCCTAGCTTATTCTAAAATTAATTCCTATTCCTAACACTCGTATATATAATTCAGCTATAAAAAAAGTAAAAAAATAAAAATTCTTGGCTTACAAAACAAACAGATCTTAGTCCTTAGTTCAGTTGCGTTTGTAGGTGTTCTAGTAAAGTATCTGTTGGGGTACGAAAACAGGAGTGTTTTGTCGGTCTTGTGAGGCAAAGGGGATTCAGTATGGTCCAGTTGTGGGGGTTGTTTGTCCATTTGATCTGTAAGTGTATTAGTCTTTCCGAAATTTTTGTCATGTTTGTGCGTTCGTATAGTAGTTGGTTGGAAGGGTTGTGCAGTGGGTTTTGGGGGTGCCTTATTCGTGTTATTAGTCTTAGTGCAATTTGTTCTGTTGTTTGTACGTATCATTTTGTCCTTTCCGTTCGTTTTAGTATGCATTTTTCCATTATCCGGATTACTATTACTAGGAAAAATCACGAAATGTCTTATCAATATTATCTTACACAAATTACAGTAATCACAGAGCATTATTAATCACCACATTACGCAATTTTACCGGAATATTGCTATAAAACCCGATAAAATCAAGCAAAATGAAACAGTTCCACAATGTTGGCGAATTAGTTAAGTTGTGAAAGTGCGGAGCCAATCGATATCACATTACCAAGATGCAGCTGGACGGTGAGAGTACATATTGGAATGAGTTTAATTGTTTTCCAAATTCTGGAGTCCTGGAAGATCTGAGAAGTCGCAACTCCCATATATTAACAAGAAGAAAGAAAAAGCGCAAGAAGAATTCTCTTAGCATTGATACTGGTGAAAATTAACTCAAAGATAAAGAGCCTAATGGTGAGTTTCGATGGAAACCCGCAATCCTGCTGTCCATTTATGATCGATGTTCAAGACAACTGGAACATGGGTGCTGATGGGTCAGTAATGGAAGAATACTAGTGGATCAACTGGACTGAAAAGGTATGTTTGCCGTCCAAAGTGAACAATAATTCAATAAGATGTCCCATGTGAAGGTGAATTTCAGTTATTATAGAGTTACAGAACAATGTAACATTAGTTCTAGAAATGTTTATTGTAATAATTGCAATTGCGTTATTAATCAAATATGTTTCCTACGAATTGCACCATTATGAAACATTTGTTGTAGTAGATTTTTAACCGTTATCGAGTGTAAAATACTATTATGTTATAGACTTATATAAGTGATAACTGCTTAGAAATACAAACGAATGTAAAATGTTGTACATAACTAAATGTTATTATTGGATATTCCAACTACTATAATTATAATGAAAGGGATTTTCGATAGCAAAAAAACTTTATTGCTATAATAATAATATTGAATATGCACAAGAATGTTAATTTTAAGAAACTTGAAATCATTTGTAGAAGTAACACAAGTTTATAATAATATTGGATATAATAAATTTAGTTGAACACTAACAAATTTGATATTAGGACTATGGAAGCCCTTAGATTGGGATTAGTACTAAGGAAATCCTATGTTCAGAAATACACAAACTTGTATAGTAAGACTCCGGATAGTATAATTAGTGTAAGCAAGTTAAATCAGTTATCCCAAAATGTAAACGAACATCTCTTTAAAGAAAAAAATGAGAGACGTTACCTTTTATGCCCTGATTAGCTCAGTCTAGTTTGTAAGGAAATATATTTGTTAACTGTAAACCCTGATATCAGTTATGTAACTGCTCACAGGTCAGAATATATATTTTTTTAAATAATAAAGTATTATGGAATGGAATGTTTGCTTTGTTTTTTCAGAATTAGGTTACTTGTAACAGATTTTTAGTGGCGCCCAAAGACTATATGACTCGCAACGATTCGAATCCTCAGGACCATTTTGATTTGGTTTATCTGGCATACATAGGCGAAACATATGATAAAATTAATTTCTTGTAAATGGTTAACGAAAAATTGAAAGGTTTGAAAAATATTTATACTTATGTATTTTTCAAACCTTTCAATTTTTCGTTATACTATAATTCAAAATTATTGACGGTGTCCTTTTTATAGTCTCATTAACTAAAAAAGACGGGATTTACCCTATTCCAATATATTTATTTTCGACTCATAAAAGTTGGTAAGTTTTGATGTTTGTCTGTTTCATGAAATAAACGGTTATTCGTCAACAATCCTATAATTGCTATTCGATGCTTGTTTCAACCATACATGTATGGATTTATGAATGGATTCATTTTAATGTCAATTATTTTGTTTTTCATTGTTTGAACGGGATCGTTAATAGCCACTGTCTTCAAAGCAAAACAAGCGATTTCCGATAAAACATCTTCCCTGAATTTGAATTTTAATGAAAAAATATGATATACTTAAGCATTAGTTAAGATAGAAATGTAATCGACGCATCGAAAAATAATACGCATTAAAAATAAACACTTTTGCAAGAGCCTCACGAGAGTCTTGGTCTTGTTCTTGCTTTCTTGCATATATAAAATTTGGCAAATAGACGTATATATTTATTTCCAGTTTATTGCGTGAATGTAATGCTTCTGCAGCTATATTTTTCATACAAAAAGTCCAGATCATGAAAGTGCTCTAAACAGGCCACATGTATTGGAGGCGGTAAAAATAAAATCGCAATTTGCATTAAATTGAATGTAGAGAAAAATTACTAAAACAGAGGAGAATATATTATTATCAAGTCGAAACATTTAGCAAATGTACCGGTATTTACCGGCAGCCGTATCTTTTGAAATATCTACTTCATAAAGGACCAAACAACCTTCTAATTTTATCAGAAAAATAATGTCGCTAATCCTATTACAGAGACATTAAAACGAAGTTGAAGAATGTTTGAAGAAGTCGAATGTTTTGTAGTGACTCAACGATCAGATTTTAATCCAGATTTTTCTACTACAATATTAAATAATTTCTAAACACTGTGAAAAAATGTGTCAAATCTTTAGATTGGATCGAAAATACTTCGTTATTACATATGGGGCTTCCATAGTGACTGGTCAGGTAAAGATAGAATTTGCCTTCGATTTCTCATCGCAAGAGCAAAGCAATTCCAATGGATCCACGGCTCAGAAACACGGAAAATTCTTCAACCAACAATTTTTTAAATATTTTGATTTTTCTGTAGTCTTGTGGTGTTTTTTCTTTCTTTCGGATATCTACATAATAATCTTTCTAATAACTTTAATTATTTAAACTCATGACTAGTGATGAGGAAAGCAAGACCCATATGGTATATACCAAGACTTGTTTTGCATACATAGTCTTGTTTTTGGTCTTACTAACCAAAAGCCAGTCCTGGTTTTGCTTTTTTGCAAAGATGAAGATCAGTCTCGCTCATCAATATCTAATACTTATGAATCTAGCGTAATTGTTTATATTTTAAGAACAATGAGTAATGTCGAACCGCGTGTCTCGTCTATCTATGCGCGTAGATAAAATGTGAATCCAGAATGTTCTATTATCCTGAACATTGAGTGAAAAATTGCGCAATATTGGGATTGAATCGTAAATGGATTACGTTTTGGTTTCTACAGATATTTAATGTTTTTATCATTATAAATTGTTTATAAATGTTATTATAAATAAGAAGATGAGATGTTTCTTACGGCTTCTTTAATACTTTAACACTACGCAATATCTGCCAGACCATGAATAAATTAACATTAGAAACGTTTTCCTATAAAAATTTCCAAATGCTAAAATAGTAACTTTAAACAGTAATCACGGTTTAGGCAACGTCATGGCAAACCGAAATCGATCGTCCAGAATTCAGTTTATGGCAGGCGCAAAACAGTTTCGCTCAAAAATGGCTGCTGCAGTCGATAGTCTGGATTATTACCTCACATTCCCGAATCCAAACTTCAACTATAACCAGAACAGTGCGGAATCCGACTATGTGTTCGTGGTTAACGAGAAGAAAGTGCCCATTATCCTGCTCTTCGGATGGGCTGGATGCAAGGATAAGTACCTGGCAAAGTACTCACAAATTTACGAAGAAAAAGGGTGAGTTTTCCCAATAAACGTGCAAAACTTCTGGAGAAACTTTTTTTTAAACTTCAGTTTGAAACATTGTTATTTGCATACTTGGAGCTGAGATATTTGTCGAATTTTCGACCGGCGTCCTATGAAAATAGTAAATATTATTTTTGCTACTTTATGATGGTTTTCCAAGCATCCAAACTTTGAATGAAATGGGCAGTCAAGTGATAGACGCATTGAAAAGTTTTTAAATTATACAGGGTGACTCAAAATTTGGTTGCATAGTTATAGCTGTTATAGCATGTTCAAGGACAAAAGTTTGGCGGCGTTTGCGGACCTAACTTTTGTCCTTCTTAAAGTCTGGGAATTTGCCGTTAAAAGTATAAAACATATGCTCACCCTGTATATAGGATTATTTAAAAATAGTGTTATTCAAGTGGCAGAGCTAAAATTATAGGTGAAAAAAAAACAGAAGAACACACCAAAGAAGAGCAAAAATAAATTGTTCCAAATCCAATAGAAAATTAATGTTGAAACAGTCAACTCCCAGTAAATTCAAACGAAAATGTGGAATACCTATCCGTCTCCCAAAAGTTTATGAAACCACCAAAAAACGATTAGCACATATGTGATATTTCGACGCACTTATGTGATACCAATATAATTTTTCTGTATTTTACCGAGAATATCAATACATTTCATTGGATTTAATCGATATTGCCTGAGCCTGAGCAATTTTTAAGATTAGGATAATACCTTATTAAGTGTTGATAAAACCTCTTGTTGTACATCAGGCATAAAACTAGATAAGATTTCGTGAGTTTTCTATGAGTGCCAACGTAGCTTATTGGGTTTTAAGGTTGATAACTCTCCGCTACACTGCGCCAGTGAAATGGCTCTTCATGAAGAGACACCAAATGGTCTCAATCGGGCAGAAGCTAGTAAAACTGCTTTTCGAGCTGAACTTCGAAAATCACCCAATTATAGTGCATTGCTTTTCAAATGGTGGAGCGTTCCTGTACCAGAATTTCTCATATGCCATCGAAAAACATGACAAATCCTTAGAGGTCAGTAAATCCGTAATCACAATCGATTGAGGAGAGTTTGATCAATTTTTTATAGCTTCAAGGGGTGGTTTTTGACTCCGCCCCAGGCAGGAGAAGAGTGACAAGCCTGTTTCGAGCTCTAACAGCCATAGTGGAAGGCAATTTTTTGTACAACTTTTCCCTGTCGTTTTTCATGACAATGTTTTTATCGGCAGTTTGGCTTTATGAGGTAGGTATGTGTGTTATCGGGGCGAATTTATCACTGTTCATATGACGGTTTCGGTAGGTTATCACCAACCAGATTTTCTCCAGAGATAATGAACACGCAAACAATCCGTTCGAGAATCTGAAAAAGGAGCGGAACCGATGTCCTCAATTGTTCATCTACTCCAAAAATGATGATCTAATACCACATACAGTAAGTGTTGGTTAACAAAGTTATTTTGAAAACATTTTCATAATGTTGAATAAAAAAATCAAAATTTCAACGTTTTTCATCTCTCAATAGATACGTACAGGCCAAAATTGTCAATTTCAAGTTAAGGTTTATATTTTCTTATTTGACAGAGATATAGAAAAATGTTTCATGCTTCTTTATAATGATTGTTGAATAATCTGCCGTTTTCAGAATAAGTATGCGGGTTCAGGCAAAAAGTTAACAGGCCTTAGTTAATTTTTTTAAATATTATAAATAATATTTTTAATATAAAATTTTAACTTTACTAGTTTCTCTACGCTTTATATCAGAAAATATTCTTTTGTTGAAAAAAAAATCCTTTAAAAACCCCTAAATAATGGCATTATTTGTTATTTTAGGATGTGGAATGTTTTGCAGCCTATCGAAAAAAATTAGGCGTGGACGTAACAACAATTTGCTACGAAAATAGTTTACACGTGAAACATTTGCCGGAAAACCGCGAGAGTTACGTAACTGGAGTGTTCCAATTTGTGAATAAATGCCTGAACGGTATAAACAACATCAATTAACTTTTGAAGGAATTGCGCCCTGAATTTTGCCAGAGTAACTTTCATTGCAAATAGTAACTCAAAATTATAAAAGTATGTTGGTTTAGATCAGCAATGCACAATATTAATTTACATTCGAAATATCGGTTGAGAAGTTTTCTCCGGGCTTATAAGTCTTGGAGATGTCCAACGCAAATGTGAACGAGACACCAGAAAAACACTCCAATCGCCACTGCTTGTCAGGCCCGAAAACTGCTCAATCGAGTGCGATTTTGAGCATCATTTCCTTTAAATCCTGTATGAAACTGATGCAATGTGTACATAAAAGTTAAACTTATTCTATTGAGCCCTAAATCTTATTAAAAAGATAAGTATTTTTAAGTAGCACAAACTATCGTTATTGTATGTATCTACACAAGTATAACCGTTGCGAATATAGAAAAATATCGCTATTTAAACGACACAGCAACTTTACCCAGCAGCAGTTCATTTTATCAGGACTGTAAGTAAGTATATTTTTGTTGATTGGCTTCTGTGATAGTTAATCTTTGGATAAGGTAAAATGAATTTACGTTAAAATTTGGATTGTGATACTGATATTTAAATGAAGAAAGATTATTTAAGTAATGTAGAAAACTACTTGCTAATATAAAGATTAATTAGATTTTTCTACTAAACGTGTCTTACTTTTCCTTTGCCTTATAAATGAAATTCTGCACTATCAATGTGACTGTACCTAATTATTTCTAGGAATTTTCGACTTGCGATATTTAAGCTACAAATACGACTTGGCAAATTGAAACCTCGATATTTCATGAACCGATGAGGACCCAGAAAAAATGAAAATAATTATTTTATCTTAAAATTCCAGCGGAAACTTTCTATTTTTTCGGTTATACGGGAAAGTACTAACTTGTTTCAGTTAGACTAATCGGACTACCCTTGTATCTTGTGATTATTCACTCATTACCACTTACCTTCCACCATTAAAAATCGACTGATTCGACGAAAAGGCCCGAGGATCAACGACCTTTAAAAATATATAATAATAAACCGATAAATGTTATTGCTTTATGAAACTTAAGTAACATGTTTTGTATTTACTGAATTAAAATTATATTTTATTTTAAATTTTTTGATTGTTCGGTTTTTGGACTCTGACGGAGGTTTTTGGAACCCAAAGCAGAAATATACGGCAACATCGTAATTCGGACTTCTCATAGAGGTTATGTTTATTTGTTATCGGCGCTCTTAACTGAAATTAACGTTGAATGTGCTTTATTTTAACTATTCTTTAAGGGAAAGTTGAAAAAAACGCGAAAATTCGCCAGGTTTAAAATACATGAGCACCGCACAAGTAGCACTAAAATTTACAGTTGTTGCTGTTGAAACCTAACCCTAGGTGCATACTCAAGAAGCACGTTTTCAGGGCTCAGGGCTACATTTAGGCAAATATGTCTACGTGTGCTCCGCCCCGGCACATTGAGGCCGCAAGCGTTAAATTCTCTGTACTCACTGAAGAGGACGTGAAGAAAATAAGCGTTTTTCAAATTGTGACTCCTCTAACTTTGGATTCCTTGGGCCACCCTGTAGTAGGGGGGCTGTACGACAACAGGTAAGCACTGAGCTGGTTTATTGTGTTCTTTAACCAACACTTGTATTGTTTAAAGATTGGGACCCTCAACAGACAGAAACCAGCCGTGTGGCACTTGCAGCAAAAACAGCACCTTATGTCCCGGGCATTTTGCCTATATCGATTTACCGGTGCCCTGTGTGAACCCCCTTTTCCATAAGGTATGACAAGGTGCCTAATCATCGAATACATTGTATTGACTTTTTTATTTTCCTTTTAGGTGGTCGGCACTATTTTGAAGCTATCGTGCTTGAGCTGCCATCAAATGCAATTATCTAAAGAAAGCCGCGCAAAAATTGAGAACCTAAAACAAACAGAGCACAGTGACTGGGACCTGATTCAGATGGAAATTGTTAAAATAATTCTAGATGAAGCAAAGGCCGGCACGTTTTGTATGCATTGCAAGACCCCTTTGAATAAAATTCAAGTACTGGCCAAAAGAATTCTAATGATTTGCAGGAAAAATGACAGGTAAAACCTGAGCTTTTAAAGTACTACGGAAATATTTTACGTAAAAACTGTTCCAGCCAAGCCGATGGATCCAGATTGAAAATCAAGGAAATGGAATCCAAATATATTAATCCATCGCAGTCGCAATGTTTCCTAAGGGACATATGGGACGCCGAAGAAGATTTGATCAAATACATGGTCCCTATTTTAAACGATGTTAAGCTTCCTCATCCCACCGATGTCTTTTTCTACAAGGTAAATCGTCTTAGGGAAATTAAAACCTCAGATTAATTGACTAATATAATTTATCTAGGTTGTTCTTGTTCCGCCACCCAATGTCCGACCGCTCAACTATCTAAATGGCAAAGTGATTGAAAACACACAAACCAATATGTACAAGGACCTGGTAACCAATGCCCTAGTAATGAATCATTTGATTCGAGTCGTCCAGAAAAAAGGCATGGTTATTTCAAGCCCTGAAAATCGCTTCTGTTTTAATTGTCGGTTTGAAATTGCAGGAAATTTGGGCGTTTTGGACTCCAAAGAATCCATGGAGTTTTATTTGGCTGCCCGAGGCAGCACGCCAGTTGAAAAACTGAACAACTGTTGGGAAGATTTGCAAGGGAATGTTAATGACCTGTTGTCGAAGGAATCAAGGAACAATAAAGGAGGAATGGGTCTAAAACAGGTCTGGACTCTGATGGCGAAAGAAGCGCAGGAAAATTGATATTGAGGAGTATTTTTAGATCATCGAAAAAAAACAAGGGATCATTAGACAGCACATGATGGGGAAACGTGTTAACTTCGCAGCAAGATCAGTTATCACACCAGATCCCAATTTGGATGTCAGTGAAGTCGGTGTTCCCGAAGTATTTGCGAAAAAATTAACTTGTCCTGTACCTGTTACGCCATGGAATGTTGAACATTTGCGACAAGTATGTATACTTTGCGGTCACATGTCGCATAGCCTGGGAATAATAATTCAATATTATTTACAGCTAGTGAAGAACGGTCCTGATGTGCACCCAGGCGCCGTTTTGGTTGAAATGGAGGATGGAAGCATTACCAAGATCAATCCGCTGAACAAAGTTCAACAAGACGGCTTGTTGAAGGTAGAAATTTAAATTATTACTCGCCTAAATAAACCGGTAATTTTTTTCTTTGAAATTTAGATGCTTCTTACACCTCACCATTCAAGTAGGCCTGGTTTTCAAGGCATCAAAATAGTCCATCGGCATTTACAAAACGGCGATGTTTTGTTACTAAACAGGCAGCCTACGTTGCACAAACCCTCAATCATGGCTCACCGAGCCCGGATTTTAAAAGGGGAGAAAACTTTGAGGCTGCATTATGCAAATTGCAAGGTAACAATGGAAAGTACTTTGATAGTTTGTAATTATATTAAATGTTGTTTGTTTGTTTGTTCAAGGCGTATAATGCTGATTTTGACGGCGACGAAATGAATGCCCACTTTCCACAAGACGAAGTCGCTCGTAGCGAAGGATACAACCTTGTTGAGGTAAACTCCCTAATCTAGGTCAAGTTCAGTTTATTTATCCATGTTTTATGCGCTTCAGGTGGCTCAACAGTATCTTGTACCTAAGGACGGAACACCGCTAAGTGGCCTAATTCAAGATCACATGATTGCTGGGGTCAAACTCTCATTACGGGGCAGATTCTTCAACAGGTAGAGTATTTTCATCAACACTTTGAAATATTTGTTGAATTCAATTCCAGCAGTCAGTTGCTGAAAGCCTTTCTGCATCTGTTTTAACAGCACTAATTTTTTTTCTTTAGATCTGATTATCATCAGCTAGTTTTCCAGGCCCTTTCCCATAAAACCGAGAGAATTGATCTCCTACCGCCAGCTATAATAAAACCTTTGCAACTATGGTCGGGAAAACAAATTTTGTCCACGGTGATCATAAATATTCTACCAAAAGGCAAAGTGCCCATTAATTTGAAAGCGGGAACAAAAATTTCCGCAAACGCTTGGCAAAAATATCCTCCCAGGAAATGGAAAGCCGGTGGAAGCCCATTTGAGTAAGCTAATTCTGTATTCTAGGAAGTTATGGGAAAATACCCGGTCTGTTTAAGTATGCATTTTTTCCTTTAGGAAACCGAACGAAATGAGTGAGGCAGAAGTGATTATTCGCAAAGGAGAACTATTGTGTGGAATTCTAGATAAGACTCACTATGGCGCAACCGCTTACGGGTTGATCCATTGCATTTACGAATTATACTGCGGAACTTATGCTATAAGGCTGCTCAGTTCTTTAGCCAAGTTATTTACTAGGTAATGTATTGCGGATTTGATTTCTTTTTATTAATAAGATCTGATATAACTGGGCTCTTTCAGCTTTCTTCAACTGGAGGGTTTTACTTTGGGTGTTCATGATATATTAACGGTAAGAAAGGCAGATCGAAAGAGAAAAAAAATAATTGAAGAATCCAGACGAATTGGGAAAGATGTAGTTTCAAAAGCGCTGGGCATCTCAGCAGATGCCAGCTTGGAAGAAATGACTTTAAGAATTGAAGAACAGTGCGCACTAGATCCCAAATTTAGACAAGTAGGGAAAATGCCACCTCTAAAAAATATCTATTTTCTCTATGTATGGTTGTTTTTAGATAATCGATCGGGCATATAAAAGCAGTCTGGACTCATATACAAACGCGATAAACAAATGTTGCCTTCCGGCTGGTTTACAGTGCAAGTTTCCTGAAAATAATCTACAGTTAATGGTTCAGTCAGGTGCGAAGGGTTCCACGGTTAACACCATGCAGATTTCCTGTCTTTTGGGGCAAATTGAGCTGGAAGGAAAGCGTCCACCGGTTATGATTTCTGGAAAGAGCCTACCAAGCTTTCCAGTCTTCGAATTTTCTCCACGGGCTGGCGGATTTATCGATGGCCGTTTTATGACCGGTATTCAGCCGCAGGAATTTTTCTTTCACTGCATGGCAGGCAGGGAAGGGCTTATCGATACTGCTGTAAAAACCAGTCGAAGTGGTTACTTGCAACGGTCAGTATAAACAGACAATTTTCGAGTAATACTAAGAAATTTTAAACTAATTGAAATCTTCTCAAAGTTGGGTAATGTTTCTGTTTTTTCAGATGCCTTATTAAGCACTTGGAAGGTCTTCATGTTGGATATGATTTGACTGTGAGTATCACAAGAGGCATTTCCTTGATTAGGGTTTATATTAATGCGAATCATTACTAGGTAAGGAATAGTGATCAGAAAGTAGTGCAGTTTCTCTACGGCGAAGATGGACTTGATATAAGCAAAGCTCAATTTTTCAATGAAAAACGCCTGCAATTTTTAAGCGATAACGAGAAATGTATTGTACAAAAGGACATTTTGAAGCAGTTGACCAGCGATGAGAATCAGCAGGTGAGTTCCTGGATAATTAAAATCGTGAACATTTCAAGTTTACCTTCAACTTTTCAGTTGGTGGAAGAGCACAAAGTAAAGCTTAATTACTGGACAATTAATAATGGATCACCATTAGAAAAACGGCGAATGTCCGCTTTTAACCATTTCGCTTCCGAATGTTCCAAGCAATTTGGGAAAATTTTGAAGTACAAGAAAGTGGTAAAAATGTGGAGAGAAGCCTCTGATGATTTAAAAGATTCGCTCAAAACAGCATTAATTTGTCCAGATCCTGTAAACACTGTAAGTTAGTTGTTATTTGAAAATTCTGCAGTAGGAAAAAATCTATATAGTTTCATGCTTACTTGTAGGTATTCCAACCCGACCATCACTATGGAGTATTGAATGAACGATTGGATTCTTTAATGACTAGTTTTACAGAAGCGAAGAACAGTAAAAATACAAAACGGTTTCAGAAAATGTTTAAACTGAAAGTGATGCAGAGCTTGTGCGCCCCTGGCGAACCTGTTGGATTACTTGCTGCTCAGGTAATAACATTTCAGCAATATTCACTACAAAAGCCTAAATTTGTAATAAACGTTACAGTCGATTGGAGAACCATCAACCCAAATGACACTGAACACCTTCCACTTTGCCGGCAGAGGTGAAATGAATGTAACTTTGGGTATTCCGCGTCTCAGAGAAATTTTAATGATGGCTTCAAAAAACATAAAAACTCCGTCTATGGAAATTCCGTTTCAACCCGTGTTTAACTTGGAAGTGCGAGCTAAAGACCTGAGAAAAATCCTCACCAGAGTCGTGCTCGCCGATGTTTTGGAGAGGGTCGATGTCACGGTTAAGTTAGTGATACACCCAATAAGGTATAATTTCTGAATTAAATTTAAATAGAGTTCAAATGCAAAGTATTGTGTTAGGAAACATCAGTACACATTAGCTTTTCACATCCTTCCGCCAAACTGCTATGATGAAGAATACAAGGCTTCAACAAAATCCATACTAAAGCATATAAAGAAAGTGTTTTTTAAGGCGTTGTTTGTAAGCATTGGCAAAGTGTCGAAAATTAAATCGAATTTGTAAGTACTTTAGCAAATTTACGTATATTGTTTTGCTTATCTATTATCTCAATGGCAAATGGAATGAGTTTAAATTAATTCATCTATCACTATTAGGGTTACCATGGAAAATGACCCAAAAGTTAACTTAGGTGGAGATAATGAGAGCGATGATGAAGGACCAAGAACAAAAGGCAAGAAAACAAATGCAGCTGGAAATGAAGAAGACAGTTCTGATGATGAGGTAAGTAATTATTAGGCACTTGATTATTTCACAAGTTCTCTGGCATTTAAAAAAACAGTTTTTTAATTAAAAACTATCTCTTAAATAGTTGGAAGATGATGAAAATGCGAAGCTAGCGTCTAAACATGCCGAGAGGAACGAGGATCAAGAACCAGAGGACGAAGACGAGCGAAGATACGCAGCAAGTGGTATGAAACATTGCTAATTTCTATGCCATAAGTGAAACGCTACAACTGAAACGACCTTTTTAGATGAAGAAGGTGACGACGCGGATAATAACCCGTCGACAGAATCGGCAGTAGCTGGCGACTCTGTAGTTGAAAATTACTCGTTTGCTGAGGGCTACAAAGAAGACAGAAAGCGCTGTTTTTGTGAACTCACATTCAGCTTACCCATGAGCTACAAAAAGCTCGACTTGACGGCTATTCTGCGAGATGTGGCAAGCAAGAGTGTGGTTTGGGAAACCCCCAACATTAAACGCGCCTTCAGCTACATGAAAGACCAAGAGTATATTCTCAAAACGGATGGCATTAATGTGGCCGAGATGTTCAAGTATCATGATCTACTTCAATTGAACCGGTGCGTTTATTTAATAATTTTACCTCAGCTAGATCTGAACTATAATCATTTCAGGCTTCACTGCAACGATGTGCATAAAATGGCAGACACGTACGGCATTGAAGCAGCAACAAAGATCATTGTTAAGGAGGTAAAGTTGGAATTGACTGCATAACTCTAGGGTTTTTAAATGGGCTATTTTGTTTAGGTGAAAGATGTGTTCAATGTCTATGGCATCCAAGTAGATCCTCGACATTTATCACTAATAGCCGACTACATGACCACCAATGGAACCTACGAACCAATGAGCCGCAAGGGAATGGAATCGAGTGCGTCTCCGCTACAGCAAATGTCTTTTGAATCTTCGTCGCAATTTCTGAAAGCAGCGACAATCAAAGGTAATTAGGTTTAAGCTGGTCGCGTATTTTACGCACTGTATGAAGGGGACGAATGAAAATAAATATTTGTCTTTTTTGTTGACGCACAATCCATATCGGGCGCGTCTTAAAGAATCGAATAATTTTCAATTTGTGATGAACAACATCTGGGCGTTTTAGGTCGGACGGACAATCTTCAAAACCCTTCCAGCAGTCTGATGCTTGGAAAACCTAACAAAATTGGAACAGGGCTGTTTGACCTTGTTCAAAAACTTCCTGCTCTTCATGTTTAAACGTTGTTTCATTTGGCTTTTTCGAATAATGTTTTGTTATTTGCCTTTTCTAAATGAAAAAATATATGTATGTACATAAAATATATGTGTATTTAATGTACCATCCTTGCACCACAATATACTGACAAGTGATTGTTAAAAACATGTTTTGCATAAATGTAACACGAAAAGGACGTAAAAGTAAACGAGACTCATTTTCGGTAGTAAATTTATTGGCTTTCCTTCACATTGTTTTTTTGTTAAAATCTATGTCGGACAGATTATAAAGATTTTTTTTAAAGAAATGCAACCAGTGTCCAGACTGAACGAAACTCGATGTGAATATGGGTCACTAAAGAAAATCAGATGCACATACACAAGAAGACGGATTTAGGGAAATTTCATTGAATTGTCAGGATAGGATTGTGCAATTTTCAGCGACGCAATTTCAAATTAATTGTATTCGCCAGGCAGTTGAGTGTACAACAACTGAACTGGTCTTCGTCGATTTTTCATTGCTATCGTGGCAAATAATACGATGCTAATAACCATGAAAAACAACACCACAAACATTGCAAAATATGCAATTTTTTGAGCGATAACACTATTACACTCTGACTTCCATTCAGCAACACTAATAGTAATGGGGGCCATAATTTTCTGAAAGGACTGGAAGTCACAGTTGATATCGCATGTTTCGAGTTTAACTGGAAGAGCTTCGGAGGTGTTTTTGTAAAAAATATTCAAATAAGGCGAACCCTGACTAGGTTTATGTAGTTCGAAGATTATGGTTGCCGTGTATGGAGGACAATGATACTCAAACGCTCCCATGGAATTAAGCAAGTTTGCAACGGTGGTGTCATGGGCGGAATACATCAAGAACTTTGGAGAATAGTACTGGGCCCCTTTGGGTGTATCAGTACGATTTTTAAAATAAGTGATTAATTCATTGAAAAAAGGACCGGATTTCAAACGGGCCAGCTTCTCATTAAAAGTCGCCGTGGCAAAGCTTAAAGCCGCCCACGGTTGCATTTTCTTCGGGTAAACTGTATTGGTCCAATTGGGCAATGTGAAATTGTTGGAAGCTTCAATGAAGAGAGTGTTATATAGGTATTCCAGACTTTTGAGAGTACTCACAGTCCTACCCGAATACCTACTCAAATAGGCATACAGATCATGATTTAAACGGTTCACCTTCCAAAAATATTCGCTTTTAAATAAATCTTGCAAATATATATCGTACAAAGGACACGGTTTCTTGGCCGCTAGCACAGCATCCATGTTTTCAGGTATGGAATGTATAGGTATTGGTTGCCATGCCAGGTTATCTTTCCAGACATCGGTGCCAACCGGCGGATAAAGACCAGCCAGATTCGCTTGAGCAGACATCAGAGTTCGATCTACGTCTGTAGATCGAACGTAGATGTCTTTCTCCGAGTACAACCGAGGAAGGAAGTCGACGTATCGTTGTCGGAAGTATTGGCCTAAGTTGTAATGCCGAAGTTTGCCCACCTAGAAAAAGGTTCAGATTCGAATTCGATTGACTGAAAATGGAAAAACCAGAAACACAAATTAGTGCTGCCAGACTTGTGGACGGGGATAACTACTGATTCTTTAAAATGCAACCTTCTTCAACGATTTTACTGATTAAATAAATGAGTGGAGTTAATAAAAGTTGATGTGTTTGTTTAATAATTTTGTTTGTTATATTATCAGGCCTCCGAGAGCTAGTTGATTTTAAATATTGAATATGTTTTATTGAAGTATTCTCATCAATTGGAGTTGAAAACATTGAAGCGTTTGAATACGAAATTTTATGTCGTACAGTAGATCTAGGTGCCATTATCTCATTCTCCCCTTTATTATGTTTTTCCATTCGCGCAATTTTTTTAAAGGAAGTGATACTTAAAAATCAGCAACTGTTTCGATTAGCTTCAAAACTTTATCAGAAGTGCCTTAATGTGTAGCCTTGAGTCGCTTGAAGTTTTAAGTCGCCCTTTGCTTCTGTTGAAAAATTTTAGGAAATATTAGAACTGGCTTACTTTGACTCATGAAGATTGGAAGCTCCTTTTGGCACCAAAAATTAATCACTGTGTATTAGTTTCAAAATTTGATTGGAAGTGCTTGCATGCGTTGTTTTTATTCTGTGGATCAAATGAAATTTTTTTAGAAGCGCTATAAGAAATCAAATTTTGAAAGTTTTTAGTTTCTCACAATCAGTCGATGCATTCAATTTTTTTTTTATACAAATACTCTAATACATTGTTGTTTCTGGCCTGCAAGTTTAAAGTCGCCATTTACTTTAATTGAAGATTTGCGATTTTCTAGCGTAAACGCTACAAGTGGCTGACTTGTACAAGACGCTACAAGAGGCTAACCAATCGCGACCTGATTATAAAAAACGTTCAAAGTTCACTGCTTAATAAAAAAATAGATAATACAGATAATAAACCGTGTCTCCTAATTGACTATTTGATTTAGGACTAGTATCTTTATGTGGGTGATCAGCATTTAAACTATACAACGTGTTTCATGAGGAAGGGGCATTATTTAAACTACGGATTCTAGGTGGTGTACAAACGATAGACGGAAAATCCTTTATTACTGATTTACAGGGTGTTGAAATTTAATTTAAAAAATGCAAAATAGATTTTCTCAAAACGCATGGAGACGTTTAACGAAATTTCCCAGAGATCAATAGCTACGAAAGACGCGTGTTTTGCAACAAAATAATTTTGATAATTTTTATAAGTGGGGAGCGTACCTGCACTGTATCTCCGAATTTGCTAAAGAAAAATGGCAGGCTACTGTATGTATTTTTAGTGAATGCAATTATTTTTCAAATTCCTTGTATTCCAAATAAAAATTGTTTCTTGCATTTTTTTAATTTGACAAGCGGTTGAGGTCTTCGACAAATTCAGTATGTCGTGCAGATACGCACGGCATTGCAAAAATTATAAAAATATTTTATTGCAAAACATGCGTCTTTCTTAGGTATAGATCTCGGACAAATTCCGTTCAATAATCTCCATGCAGTAGAAAGAAATTTATCATTTCGAATTTTTTAAATCTGTAACGAAAGCATTTTTGGGTTATCCCTTATATGGCACACTAGGGGTATTTTCGGACCTAGAATCCGTGGTTAAAATAACGCCCCCCTTTCTCATGAAACACCTTGAATAAATTAATCAGGGATAAACAAGAGTAACTAAAGCGCTTACATTTGTTAACATTCCCCAGTCGACTGGCCAATAGGACCGGTTCTTGTAGGGGTCATTTGGATATGGACTCACTGGAGTCCTGTCGCCGTGGCGAAAGACCTAAAAAATAAAAAAGCAGCTGTTCTATAATTATGAACAAAGCATAAACATGCACTGTAAGCAATTGCCTAATAAAATCATAAAATCCGTGATTTCTTCACATAAGGCTATGCAGCTTAAAAAAAAAGCAACTTACTACCACAACTGCGTCCAAATCACTGGAAACAGCAAATGAGGGAGGAAATGCAGCGACAAAAGTGAGGAGGACAAAGAGTTGAAACATTGTTATTAAATAGGATTAGTACGAAAAAATACTCTCAAAAAGATAACACAGCCATCAATAAGTAAGAAACTAGACTAGAGGAAATGCGGAGTTAAAGAGATTTATATTTGGGTACCATATGTTTCGCTCAAACGTGAAACTACCCCAATGTAAACCACCATAACAGTGTTGAATGCTGAATGTATACAAAAATGACAGTTTCATTTGATAATTGCAGGTTATGGTGGTGACCCAATTTCTTAGACTATGAAATTAACTGTACCAAATGCACACGCAAAGAGCTTAAAATCAGCAACTGTGTGAATAAACAAAAACAACTAATAGTGTGCTAATTTAACTGACATTTATATAATATTAAACTTCACTAAAAATACAATGAGTGCAGATAAAATGCCGATATTTCCCCCTTTGAATCTGTTACTGTTCTCGTTCATTACACACCCAAGCTCAGGACGCAGCATCATAGTGCATAGAAGATCACATAACCTCTGTGATCTGTGATCATAACCTCTAGCGAAGAATGTGATTAAAAGTGTTTTAACTTTAATTCAACCAAAACATGTATTTTACCGGCAAATCTCTTCTGCAAATTCGTTCAGCATTTACCACGTTAAAGTCCTTTTCAACCAAACCGTCAATATTCCAGCAAACAGTGAATCGCCTGAAATCCAAATCGCCGGCCCCATTGAAGACTTATTCCATTGCAAATGTATCCAGATTTCTGGCTAGTAGCCCACACGAAAATATCACATCTATCCAAGTGAAAAAGCGGCCCCTGAGAAAGAAGAAAACCGAACTGAGCAGCCCTGGGGTGTTTAATGTGGTGGCATTTGCCACATCTGAAGAGTATAATCTGGAAAGTTTAGTGGAAGGTTTACAAAAGCAGGACTTGTATGAGCCGCAAACTATTCCAAATGCCCATGATGTGGTGCATGGTGTAAGTTGTAAATGTTTGGAGTGTTCAATGAATTCAATCCCACGCATTGTAGCTTGCAAAATATAAAGTCGAGAATGAGCCCCGAGAAATATTCTTCTTTCGAGACGGCGGGGTGGTTTTGTGGAATATCACCGACATGGAGAGCAGCAATGTGCTGAATTTTTTGAAGCCCTATCAACAGGATAGTTATGCGGAACGAGTTGTGCAGGCTGAAAGCGAAATTATGAACTACAAGTATCATACAGAAGCGGCGTAAGTTGTGCTACAGTCTCTCCCTATGGAAATTGCAATGTTTGCTCGTAGAAAGGCAAGTGGTTTGGACAAAGAAGGCAACTTTGTGCTGAGCGCGGATTTGGAAAACGACACTACAAACTTAACTAAATACACCTTTTCAAACGCAATGTTCCTCTCAGTAAAGCTGGGTATATGGGAGGCTTCCCTAGATAAGTACATTGATGAAATTGAAGACGTTACAGACGATCTAAGAAGGTATTTAGCTTCTTGTATTATTCGAGAAGTAAACTAAGATTTATTTAATTGATCAGGGGCCAAAAAATCAACATGACCAGGGAGGAAGTGCTGCGGAAACATGGCGAGCTTTTCGCCCTGAGACATTACCTTAATTTAAGCTCAGATGTGTTGGATACTCCAGACTTTTACTGGGAAAACGAGCAACTGGAAACCTTATATAATCAAGTCTGTGTTTATTTTTGCATTAACAAGCGAAGTAAGGTAAACGTACCATTGATTTATTTACCAGTAAATATTTATGACTGATTGCAATTGCATTCTTAGGTGATGAACGAAAAAATCAACCATTGCGTAGCCCTCATAGAACTACTCTCGCACCATCTCAGCGACAAACATCACGTTCGGTTAGAATGGTTCATAATCATTCTTATTATGGTCGAAGTGCTGTTTGAAATTGTGCATTACATTGATCGGTTTATGCACTAAGTTGCAAAGAAGTGCCTTGCTCTTAATTGGTAAGTGCACTTGGAAGGAGCGATGACGGTATATTGGAAGGTAGATTGGACTTACGGAAATGCGTGCAGCGGAATAAGTGGCATTTATAAATGAGTAAGTAAGTTTAATTAATGATCTTTATTTATGCTAGAGGAAGTGTTGGGTAGCATTTTTAATAAAAGATTTTTTATTGCTACGGAGAGTTTTACTTAAATTTGACCAATATCCCTTTCCTTAGTAAGCAATAGTTGTTGATGTACACATTTACACCTTTCTTTCGGTTTACACACTGTTTGCAAACAGAATTTTTGGCTGGCAGGCCGAGACCTGTAGGAAGGTGCATTGATAGTGAGAATATTGTTCAAGTTCACATATCTTGAAGATAGAAAAAATTGAACTGCTGACACAAAATTCGGCCTTTTTCCAAATGTTGCAGTCAATAAAGACCTTCGAGCGAAAGAAAATAAGGCAATATTTTAGCATTCTATTGGTGAAGAAATCCGATTTTCTGAATCTGAATCACTGTTCTATATGGAAGATATTTCGCAATAAATCAGCACTGGAGATTAATTGAAAACCATAGCTACTTATATAAAGGCGCATATATTCAGTAGAGCATTTTCAACAAAGCAAATATCAATTCATGTGCAATCACAGTTTACACACCAGAGTTGGTGCTGATCCAGTTACGGAAGAAGGAAACTCTTGCGTAGGCAGTTGGGTTTCCGGCAGCGCAAAGTCTGGATCCGAAGGAGACAACACCGACTTCCACACCGCTTACAACCAATGGGCCACCAGAGTCACCATTGCAGGCTCCACGGTTTCCGGCTCCAGAAGTGCAAATGATCTGGTTGGTAATCATGGTTCCGTAGGTGTTTCCACAAACGGCGTTGGTCAAAATTGGCAATTGAACGGTTTTCAATTCAGAGGCGATGGTGTTGCTAGCGTCACTAGTCCTACCTAGAATGAGATAAATAAAATCCAATTAATACAAAATAAGGCACGAGAGTTTATATAAACATGGATGCGCGGAAGTCCAGCTTTGACGCGATACACGTTTGAGGATGCAAGAAAGTTGCGCTGGCAAACGCCAAAAACCGTTTCAGTTCCAAACCCAACTAAGAATGACGCCAATTTTGGATCGACCTGCATCGGACGCTAATAGAATAATCATATTTACCCCATCCGGACAGAACGGCGGTGGATCCAGCAAAGGTACCAGAGGTGGCAGGAGCCAAAGAAACGGCCGAAATTCCGGCTGACCCAACTGGGATGGAGGCGCCCCTAAGAAGAGCGATGTCGAATTGCAAGTTTGCTCTGTCCCATTGAGCGTGAACAATGCGAGCACTGGCGACGATCCTCACTTGAGTGGGCTCGTTCACAGTGGTTCTGGGATTGTGAGCACCAAGGATCAACTGAACGGAGCTGGCTCTAAACAGTCGTAACACAAATAGAGTAAAACCATAGCAATTTTCAACTGAAGACTCACGTATCAACGCAATGAGCTGCGGTCAAAACCCATTCGTTGCTGATGATGGATCCACCGCAGAACCCGGAGTTGTTGATGATAAGAGCGGCTTGGTACGGGAAAGCACCACGGGCAGCAACATTTCCACCGATAATCCTCAGTCCGGATTGGGGAGGAACGTACTCAGCTGGACCGACGGGTTCTACGAAGAGATCCAGGCTTTTGATGTTGTCCCAATCATATCCCAATTCCTGATCAAACAGCAAACCATAAACTATCTTCTAGGTATAATCAAATGGGCAAAGCCTTACCTCAACTTCTTCGGCAGCGGCGAAGGCACTGAGGAGGCAAACGAAGGCAACTGCGGCGAATTTCATCTTGGCACTCACAAGGCTACCAAACTGTAAATTTGTGCCTTGATGGGTATGTTTTTATACAAAAGATCTTTGACGTTGTTTGGTTTCGTTTTCGGATTAGATTAGGGCTCAGTTGTTTTATTGCTAATCTATCAAATTCTTTAGTTAATCCTATTGCTACTGTTTTAATTTCTAATCATTCATCTAATCGCATCGGAAATTCCAGTGTAAATGGAGCGCTTTGAACTGGAATCTACGTGAGTGAATGGGCTTCACTTACATGTTCTGTTGCTTTCATATTGGAATTCTATGCAAAAAATGAAAATTTTGAACTAAATTAACAGCAAACATCACTCTTTCATTTATCTAGTCTCTGAAGAAATAATTGTCCAATTTCGACCAACACAATCGCGAAATAGAGAACCCAGTCAAGGGCGGATCCAGGGGGGGGGCGGTCATGGGGGTCATGACCCCCCCATTCAATTCTCTATCCAACGATGCCAAAACGAATTCTGTGGCTCAAATGGTTCTTGATAAACTTCGAAAAAAGCAGCGTCATGTTCAAGTGGATTTTGCAACTCAAAAAAAACCACGCAAATCTAAAACTTCTTGAATTC